AAATTAATAAATTTTCAACATTTTTGTCGAAAACTTTCTCTTTGAATTCATTAAACAAATCTTTAACCTTTCATACAATGTTATAAATTCATAAAATATCCATATCCAAATATCTGAGACCTTGGTAAAATTATTGAAGACTACTTACAAAAGTTGGACATTAGAACTTTTGGAACATAGGTCTTTAACTACCCTAGCTTTGACCTTTTGGCAACTCTTTGAAACCTTTTAGTTTAAAAACATAAACCAATAGTTAGATTAGTAAAAAATAATCATTTTCTCTGTCCAATCCGCTTTGAAAAGTAGTTAACATTTTGTATCAAAATATCAATATTCACTGAAATACATGTTTAATAAAACCTGAAAAGAATATAAGCAAAGAATTTCCAGACTCGCCTGTGGGGAAAATCGCTTTGACGTCAAATGAAATCTCTTTCGAGAAGAAAATATCAGCCGTCTTCGATTCGCCATTTCTCTTGTTAGCGCAAAATTTTTCTGTAAGTGCTGCCAGTCTATCAAATCGAAGACACATAACATAACATAACTAAAACAAGATAAAACGTTAACTTCGGTTGCACCGAAGCTATAATACACTTCACAAATTAAAAAGTTTCTATATGCTATAGTGGTGTGAACTGGAAGATTTCTTCGGATGTTATAGCGTTTCCATACAAGAACTTGATTTTGATCGCTCAACTTTGTATGACTGCTACATATATGCTATTGTAGGCCGATATAAAAAATTTGTCCAGAGATTTTACTGATGACTTGGACACCAGTCCACGCCAAAAAAGATAACACGTGAACTAAAAAATTGTCTATACCAGAACTTGATTTTGATTGTTCACTTTGTGTGGCAGCTATATGATAAAGTGCTCCGATATCGACAAACAGCTTCTCAGAGAGGAAAGTGACTCAGCTCGTCACGCTGATCATTTATATATATAAATGGTTTTCCAATGAGAGTGATATGATTTAAAAAAAAAGCAAAAAAAGAAATTCAAATGATTTTTATTTAATGTGAGGTACAATCGATACAAATAAGTTCTGAATATAACGTCAAATGGCCTACAGGGCTTCTTTTGCAGGAACGAACTCGATGCACCCACTTTTTGCTTCTTCCACTAAGTCAAGTCGTATGTCATGTATAGCACGTTCAATATTGACTTCTAGGGTTTAAAGAGAGTCTGGTTTATTGCTAAAGACTGGGGTGTTAAATTATAACTTCTTGGAGGCCCTTCAATGTCACAATTTCTTGAAGTTATCGAATCTTCAAACTTTTCTCGCAATAATTTGGTTGTTGCACGGCCCGTCTTGTTGGAACTAGATGTTGTCAAGATCAACTTCTTCCAATTGCGGCCATAAAAAGTGCGTTATTATCGATCTATGCCGCTCTCCATTGACAGTAACGGTGTCACCAGCTTCATTTCGAAAGAAGGACGAACCGATGATCCAGATCCACCAGACCAAAAACCACATCAAACTATCAATTTAGGTCAATGTAATGGTTGCTCATGAATAATTTGTGGATTTCCTTCGCACCAGAATCGACCGTTTTGCTTATTTATCGCACGAATAGCGAGCACAGGTGGACAATTATTACAAACCTAAAATGACAAAAATGCACGAAAAGTTGCAAAAGAAGAACGATTATTTTGATAATAGAATTGAATAATTTGTAAACGTGGTTCTTCCGTATATCTTTCCATGATGAAATTGTAAACATTACTGAATACAATGAAAATAAATTACAGATCGTGGCATATTAAAAATGGCTGAAAGGACACTTAGAAATCATATCATCGCTATTGGAAAACCCGATATTTTATAGAGGCTCCGATGTTTATTTTTGGGAGTGTTTCTGTTCAGGGTATAAAAATAGCTAATACTTAAATTTATAAATAGTTAGTAAAATATTTGATGTTTTCTCATTCACACCTGTCTACACCCGATGTGCACCGTATTTAAGTTCCGGTGTACATACATATTTATTTGTTTGATAAAAGAGCAACAAATATGTTACACATCCCTGTTTGTTACCACTTTTCTTGTCTGAAGTGCTCGTGGGAGTTTCTTTGCTACTTTGTGTGTCCAAAACTATACAAAAACAAGTATGGAAGAGCCAAGTTCGGGTGTAACCGAACATTTTATACTCTTGCAACTTGCAAGGATGAAATTTGGCATAGGACATAGTATTGTCAGGAAATAATTTTTTCGCAATAGGAACTGGGTGCCACTCATTCGGTGTATGGGGGCTTGAATATTGTAATCCGATTTTGACAATTTTTGGTTATTAGATAGCACATCTTAAAAAATTCATTGGTGCTTGATTTGTATACTGGAAAGTCAAATGAAATTAAAAAAAAATTTTATATAGAAAATAGGCGTGGTTGTTATCCGCCTCCACCCATTTTCGCACTGTGACATAAAAATGACAAAATAATGTTATGTACCTTATTTGGTTGAAATTGGTCGGGTAGGTCCGAAGGTATATATACAGATAAAGGGTGGTTTGTAATCCGATTTTATTCATTTTTTCACTGTTGTTAAAGGTTCTTATAGGGTTTGTCATAAGCTAATTTGGTTATTGTAGCTTTAGTGGCTTAGGAGATTTGTGCATTAAACCTCTTAGGAGGCCGGGTCACTCCCATTTTTTCAAAAGTTTTAGACCACAGGTTTTCCTTGCCCCCCTGCAATCCCCTGTGACAAATTACAGTTTTTTACCTTAATTTACTGCTTAGTTATGGCACTTTATAGGTTTAATGGCGTTTTGTGGGCGTAGCAGTTAACCAACAACGCTCATCTACGAACTCGTTACTTTTTTGCCAAGGAAAACGTGTGCGAAGTTACATTACGATATCTCAATTCTTACTAAAGTTACAGCTTGCAGACGGACAGATAGACAGTCACTCGCGTCTTCATCCTGATCATTTATAAATATTTATATATACTTGTATAACCCTCTATCTATCTTGATTAGTTTTAGGTGATACAAACAACCGTTAGGTGAACAAAACAATATACTATACACCAGCATGTTGCACATTCGCAAAATTTGTACGATTGTTTATTCCTATGTAGATATGTATGTGCATAAGTAAATATGGGAAAACTTAGGTTATCTCAAAAAGTTTGCCGGTAGTTCTTCACCAATCTTCTTGCCCAGTCACTTTTCATGCAAATTTAAAGATACATTCATGCGTACATATGTACATATCTACATATTATATATGGAATGAAGTTTGAATGTACATATGTATGTACCATGTATGTTATAACTGTAGCATCAAGTCGCGCCAACTTGACTGATGAAAACAAAGTTACACTTAAATAAAAACACAAACTAAGTAAAGTTTGTCTGCCCCGATGGCGGGGGATGTGTTTACACACGTACATATGTATGTACTTTCATACATTTGCTATATCTTGTACTATTTGTATAGATATATCTATTTGTATTTTATGTAAGTCGGTGCCATATTGACTTTCGACATGTTGACGCCAAGCACATTCACCCAGTAATATTTACCGGCGAGTAGTTAGGAATTGACATACGCGAGGGATTCGGGATGTAATTTTCTTCTCTTCTCTCAAAGATATACACACACACTCCAAGTACTTTATTACACCCACAAGCACCAATCGGTTGCATTGCCAGCAGTGCAGCAGCGCTTCATTAGCCGGAAACGTATGAAATTATATAAGCCGCCATTCAATAGCGCTTCAATAGCATTCTAGTTCCAGTCCACAGAAAAGCCAATCAGTTAGTTGCGAAAACTTTATTTGTGTCGGCCTATTCATTCGCTTTAAAAACACGCTGATAATATTAACAAAGTTGTGCCAAGTTGAAAAGTGTTGTGCTACTTAGATTCCTCCAAATCACGCGCCGTCCCAGATATGCATATTTGTGTGTACCAAAGTGCTGCGCCCTCTTCTCTTTTACAAATTACATTGTTATTCAGAGTCGCGAAATTTAATGAAAATATTTCCATTGATATGTGAAATGTTTCGCTCCTTCAACCCTTAGTTTACGTCATAATATTAAATGTTTAATGGAAGTTTTCAGGGAATTCATATACTGTTCAAATTTACCAGGATTGGCCCTGCTTTTATACAACGAGTTGCAGTTTTTTCATACTTCTAATTCACGCCAGCGTCCAACCCGGTTTCCGAAGATCTTTCTGCTTCATGTGTTAATAAATTCTTAGATAAACAACAGTAACCCTATCACACATGCGTTTTAGATACTCTTGGATAATAAAATCCTACTTATTCGAACTCAACTCCGAATCGTATGACCGGCATGTAATGTATCACCACATGTTTCTAATCTCCATCTTATATCATCATCACTGGAATTGATTTCATGTTTTTGAAGGTAAATAACTACTAGCGTTATCTTCCTCGCTTGCTCGCTGCTAGGAGCCTCACATCTCAATCCACAACAACGTTATTTTCTAACTGAACGAAAGAGTATATACTGGAGTTACAGACGTACATACTGGCACTTAAATTAACTACCCGTAAATCTGCACTCCTCTCCACACATGCTTACAACCAAAATACACAACCGGAATATTCCGGACGATCCTATTAAATTACTGGACAATAGCTGTTCCAATATGGTTAGCTGGATCTAGTAGGGTGCAACTGAGCAACAGATCTGTCTTCTGTACTTCGAACAACTACATAGTGAACTCCACACCTTATTTTGTATAGTCCAGCCCCGCCGAGACAGCTCGTTTCTTGTACCTACTGTTAGATAATCTCGATGAAAATAAGGATCCTAGATAGCAATAATCCACCTCTTTCTTGGTTTTGGTCCAATCTTATTAAAACGGACTTTTATTTGACCTTCGATGAGATGTCGTCCTGAGAACCCTTTTCAAACAGGATTTTGCGTAGCTCTTTTAATATTTCAAAATCTTGAAGATCTTTCACGTATTTCCCTGGATTATGTCCTTAAATTAATTGTAATATATGTTGTTCTTTTTTTGCAGATCGATATTCAACCGCCCGAACGCGAGGTTGTTTTTTCCGAAGAGTTTCGTCCCACAGACCCACGCAGTGTTGGTCCATGCGGTGGTTTCAGCACACAATATGCTTGTATGTGTGATTTCCATGGGGTCCCCTACAGGTGGGTCAAACAAAACTCATACAAACAAGTAACTTAAATTAAAATATGCAATTTTTTACTTTGCAGAGAGGAAGTCGCTTGGGATATCGATACGATTTATTTATCCCATGATACACGCGTGCTGAACTTACGTGATTTCGATCATTTGGAACCAAAGTACGGCAATGTAACATTTATTTAAGAGGACTGGAACTAAATTCTAAAATATATCTTAATTGTTATTGTTGCAGAGACTTAATGGCCATTGTGTCCGCATTGGAGTATAATACATTTTTTCGCGGTCTAAAAGCATCACATATGCGCCTCTCCAATGAGACTTTGGAGCGTATACTACACGTGCTCAAGCGTTCGATGTGGCTAGAGGAGCTACATTTGGAGGCATTAGGTTTAAGGTATGGCGTGTTTTAGCCTGTATATGTTTAAAATCATTATATGTCTATTTTTTTTTTTTGCCAACAGATCGGATTTTCTGCATAAATTAGCTGTATCTGTGATTACAAACAACAATCCCGCAATACGTACTATCGATTTGAGTCATAATTTAATTGAGGATAAAGGTATGTTGACTGACAGTTAGATGATAAACACATAAAGCGACTTATAAAACACACATCATTAAAAAATGTAAAAGAATTCTTCAGCTCAAATGCATGTAGGTCATTAACATCTAACACGCACCACAAAAGTAAAAACAGTTTAAAAACGCCCTATGCATAAAACTAACTAATCAATACCCACTACTGCTAAGAATGAAAAAAAAATACTTAACGGTTGTACATAGCCACATACATACTTGCATTTAATACCCACTTTTATCCAACAAAAACCCTTATAAAGTACGTATTTTTGTACAACTATATGTAACCAGCGACCCTTTAAATCCATTGTAATCCAATTTAAATTACCACTCTTCCACTTTTGTAATGTAGGAGCAAGCTCATTGTGCGCCCTACTTGGAAAAATTGTGCAAGGTTTGATTTTTTGTTTTGTGTACAGTTGATGATGTATAGTTAAATGTTGCGATTCGTTACAAAAATTTGATTTTTATTGCTTTAGAAAATTTAACTTGAGAAATATACATAATTCGAACACTCTATATGCGAAATTTCTAGCTTAGAATGATTTACCATATATATTTACATATATACTCATTTATTGGATAACAGCTTTAATCGAAAAAATATTACTTTTATTAAATAAAAAATAATAATCGCCTGCCTTAAGACCATTTCGGTAATTTCTATTTGTTGCATTATATAATATATTATACCTATGTATTATTCAGTATCATTACTACAATACCAATATGGCAACAGCAAATACTAAAAAATAATTATAGCTTCCTTCCTTTGACCATAATTTGGAATCCTTGCAGAATAATAATCACCTGTTTAGTTCCAAATAAATTGTTTACGATATGTTCATTCTATTTTGGGAATTGCAGTATACTCAGCGCATGTTTTACTTAAAGAATACATATATTGTATATGTATACATATGTGTTAGGGTGAGCCAAAAACTAAACTATCGAATTTATAGATTAATATAAATCTATGTACAGTAAAAAAATACCCTACACGGCAGGATTTTTAGTTTTATTATAAAAGGTGTCGATGAGCATTAAAAGTTTCTCATTAAATAACACGTAAAAAATTTGTTTTCATTAAAAATACCATAGCTTTTGAAGCGTTCTATCATATCGTGGATTTTTGTAGAGCATAAAATTTCTAAAACAAAAATCTGCATCTGTAGATGTTCGCGGTTTTTTGTTTTGTAATCCCAAATACCGGATTGAAAAAAATAATTTGTTCCAAATACGGGATTGAAAAAAAATTTAATCCCCCAAACGCGATTAAAATTTAAAAATAAATTTTTAATCCTAAGTATATAATTGAGATTTAAATTGAAATTGTTTTAGAATTAAAATTTTTTCGCGTTTGCGTACTTCGTGTTCTACTATTTTAAACTAGAGCTCGCACAGAGCCATGATCTTCAATACTTTAGAGCAGCCGTCGTCTAACTTAAACATTAAAATTAAAAAATAAAATTTCTAGAAACAATAAAATATAAATGTTTACTCCGAAACATTAAAAATCTAATTTTTATTACCAACATCTGAATTATAATTATCGAAAGATGTTGCGGTCTCACTAAAAATTAGATTTTCATTTTTTAATCCCGATGTAGAATTTAAAAATTGAATTGAAAATCTAATTTTTAATCGTAAATATTTGAATTAAAAACTTCGCAACCCTGATTTAAAAACATAAAGATTGGCTAGTTTTTGGCTTATATGTATATACAGCGTCTATCAATAAGGATGACGTGATTTTGACAGCTCGTGGCGGCCATATTCGTTTACGGATTTGTATCAAATTCTATCGTTGTGTTGAGTAAGGCTTTTCTTTTCATCATGTCACGATGGCTTCGCCAACAAACAAAATTGTGCTAATTGCATTCCCAAAAATTGACCGTTTGGTGCGGATTGTGGTATGACGGTCAATAGCGAGCGTTATAACACGATATCGACCGATTTTTTTCCCGGAATTCGTTGAAATAGACGCGGACAATTTCTATTTCCAACAATATGGTGCGCAGCCTCGTGTTTCACGACTAAACATGGATTCATTGCGTACAAAGTTTGGCCGATTCAAATGGCCGCCAAGATCATGCGATTTAACCCCTCTAGGTTATTTTTACACCAATCAACCAGCAACGCTCAAGAAGCTCGAAAACAACATTCATTTTGTTCTAATAATAAATGGCATAAAATTAAGCAGAACACATTTTATTTTAACATCACATCGTTCTTGTTGGTGGACCCTGTATATAAACAAAGGCGCTGAGTGTGAATTTTTTTTTAAATATTTATAAATGTCTATAATTAAGTGTTGCTTACTTCCAATATGAACTTTATTATGCTTTATATATACTTGTATATACCATATAGCATGTTGCATAGTTCCGTATATAAATGTTCGCTCTGCTTCTTTTGCTGCTCAACAATTTAACTCCCGAAAAATGCACCCTTTATAATGTATCTTTTCCTTAGGTGCTATCCACCTGGCCGGCCCCATTGCCAAAGTTTCGAAAGGTCTTTGCAAGCTGGCGCTCGCTCATTGCGGTCTAACATCGAAGGGCGTGAATCAGATGTCGCATTCATTGTCGCTGAATCAAAGCATTTCCAACTCACTCACACATTTAGATTTAAGTGGCAATAGTCTTAAGGACGACATAACAGTAAGTGCAAACACACATTTGTATGATTTTGTGGTTTTGTGTGATTGCATTAATTCTTTTTCCGTATTTATTTTAAGAATTTACATAATTTTCTTGCACAACCGAATGTTTTGGAACATTTGGACCTCTCATCGACTGATATAACCTTGGAGAACGTAAGTACCTTAAATATTTAAATAAAATAATTAAAAATATTGATTTCATATATTCTACATTTACAGTTATTTGGTGCCCTCTTACGCGGTTGTGCAACACATTTAGCGCACTTAAATGTTTCACATAATTCGTTTAGCACAAAAAAAGGCAAAGAGATACCGCCATCGTTTAAACAATTCTTTACGAGTACACTGAGTTTAAAACATTTAAATATTGCTGGTTGTAAACTGCCAATGGAAGCGCTCAAGTAAGTTCCGAGTCAATGATATTAAGAAAACAAAACAAATTAGTGAAATTCAAACTAGTCTAAAATGCGAAAATTCGTAAAAATCAGTCACAATAAAAAAAATAATAAAATAGAAATATAAAAAAAATAATATAATAAAAAAAATTTAAATATTAATATAATTTATACTTATAAAATAATAAAGCCAATAATCTAATGTTTTTAAATATTTTCTGAGTCTCGCGCCTAGACTCTTATATTATTTTACTAAATCAATAAAATCCTTTGTTTTACAGAAACTTACTGCTCGGTTTAGCCTGCAACGAGTCCACAGCTGGGCTGTATTTAGATTTAAGTAGCAATACGTTAGGTGCCCAGGGCGCACACGTTTTGGAATCATGCATACATGGTGTACGAGTCTTACAAAGTTTAGATATAAGTGACAATAGTAAGTGCAAGAAACCAAATAAGAAAATTAATTTTGTAAGCTTTGGTCGTTTAGTTTTATTTGTTGTGGTTCTAATTAACTTTTATATGAAAATGTAGTCCATCTAAATACATCGAAAATATTATGTATTTAAAGTCCAAAAGTTAGTTTAAGATTTATTATAGTTCAACAAAATTTAAAAAAAATTTGGATGTATTTTTATAGCATCTAATACAATGATGTGCAAATTTAAGTTGAGTTCCAAATTACAACATATTTTTTCGTACCTATTTTCTGGCCACCAATGTGCATTTTTTTATATTAATATAATTTTTTTTTAAGTCCACTCTAAATAGTTTTATAACAATTTTTAATTATTTTATCTCTCCTAGATTTGGATGCCGAATTAGCTCCCGTTTTAACAGCGATTTCCAAAAATCCCTCAATACGTACGCTTTACATGACACGCAGCCTGACTGGCATGAAATTAAAACATATTCCCACCGTTATGGACGCGCTTGTGAATCTGATACAAAAAGACGATTTCCCATTGGCTGAGTTGGTGATCTCCGAAAATAAATTAAAGAATGATATACACGACTTCATTAATGCGCTTGGCAGTAATCAAAGTTTGCAAAAACTAGGTGGGCAACTTTTTCATTCATTTACTTCATTCCACTTTCAAGTTAGGAATACCATTACTATAGTTCATCTCTATTATAATTCTGAATTGACAGCAATTCAAATAAAAATTTGTTTATCTAAAAATATATGTCTACTAAAACTCGAATTTTCTTGATCGTGCGCTGCTATACCTTTTTCAGACATTAGCGGCAACTACATGGGGGATGTGGGTGCGCGCCTGCTCGCCAAAGCTCTGCAAATCAACAACAAACTGCGCACAATTTACATGGACAAGAATAACATAACACCGCAGGGTTACGGCGACATCGTTTACGCTTTAGAAAATAATCACAGCATGCGCACCATACAATATCCAGTCTTCGATATTACGCCACACATGAAAAATCATCCGGAGAAGACCGATGCGATTATGCGCAAAATGCAAGAGTTTCTACAACGCAACTGCAATGGTCTCAAGCGCACCAATGGACAAGGTTTCCGACTGCAACATGGTTTCATGCTCTCCTCAACACACCAACTGGTCGATAAGCTAGTGGCCGAAACACAGGATAATATCTCGGTTGCAAAAGGTAGCGATTCGTCAGCAGTGCAGCGGCTGATCGATGATGCCGAAAACTGCAAACAATTAATGCCAAAATTACAGGAGGCTGTGCGTTGTGAATCGCATCCGGTGGAAATAAAGCTTACTCGCATCGCCAGTGATCTCAGCTACACTATACAGGGTTATCTGGAGGAAACATTAGAAACCATGCTGCGCACTGCTGTCGAGCAGTGTCCCAAAACATTGGGCAGCCAAATGGTTGTGCAAGATTTGCGCAAAGCTCTGAGTGAGCGTCTACAAATACCGGAAGATTTTCTACAGAGTTGTCTGCTGAATAATGCCGGTAGTGAGATCATGAACAAAGTGGGGTGAGTTCTTTTTGTTATTTTGCTTGTGGTTGTGAGAGGCGCTGCGTGTAAAAATTGTGGAAAAGCTTCTCTCTTTATGAGCTGGAAGCTGCTACGCATAGTGAGACGAGCTTTTTAGCGGGGGAGCTTAGTTTTTAGATATTATGATAAACATTTATTTTGCAATTTGCGAAAAAACGGGATTATATGCAACCATTTCGTAATAAATATAAAGAAGAAGAGAAGAGGATTTGTTCAAACAATTGCGATAATTTTCTTAGCAACAAAAAATTGTAAAGCTTTTTGTTTAACTCGCCTTTGTCAATGGAATATCCAGCGCATGAACCTTGAAATTGAAGCCAGTTATCAGAAACAAGAAAAGTCATTAACTTCGTTTGCACCGAAGCTATTATACCCTGCACTGATAAATAAGGTTTTTCAGACAAGAATTTGATTTTGAACGATCAGTTTGTATGACAGTCATATGCTATTGTGGTTCGATCTGAGCAATTTCTTCAAAGATTGTATCATAATAATGCATGCCAAATTTAATGAAAATATCTTGTCTAATGAAAAAGTTTTACATACAAAGACTTGATTTTGATCCGTCGGTTTGTATGACAGCTATTGATATAACAATCCGATCTAAAAGCATTCTTTGTAGATTGCACTATTACTTTTGGCAATAACCCGTGCCAAATTTCATGGACATGGCTAAATATACTCAGCTCGTCACGCTGAACATTTATTACCATAAATATATATTTTATAGCGCATTTGACGTCTCCTTGTGGGTGTTACAAACTTCATGGCAAACATAATAAACCTGTTCAGGGTATGATAATTTTTTGGGTTTTGATTTTAGAGCAGCTACCCACTGTCTCAGTTTGATAATGAGTCGTCCGTGCTTACCTAGAGCTGGTCGCGTTAGTGTGCGAGTATACACATTGTTATGCATATTGCTTACTCATAGATAAGATTATACATTAGCGGCGTACTGTATTGTATTTGCGAACGAACTGAGTAAAACAGAAATATGAAAATGAATTGTAGTAATGCGAATATAAAAAACACTAAATAAATAATAAAAAAAAAGCTTTAGAGTGAACCCGTTTAGCTCTGTGTCGAGATTCATTTTATAGCGATATCAAAAAAATCCGACAATATGGAAATCAATAAGCAAAGCTGAGTCCGCGCAAAACAACATCACATAAAACAAGGAGAAACAGCAAACAAAACTTCGCAGAATTCTAACTGAAAGTGGAGAGGAATGTGTAAATCTGTTTCAAGATTTGGCAGCTGGCACTGTTGTTGTGCTCCAACCTAAGCATTAGCTCAGTGCGCCTACAACGCTCAACAGATCAAGAGGAGCCACTGCTATACACGGAGCGTCGACAGCTGTTAGAGTATTGTGAACAGCTGGTGGGGCGCTTGGGTTCGAGTGTAGTGCAGCTTAAGGGAAATAAAAAGTTCTTGCAAACCAAAAGTGAAAGTGCAAAATAAAAATTTAAAAAATAGCAATAACAAATCTTTTCGAAAACGATGGGGCGCGGTTGGTGTGGTTGGTGCTGTTGTGGAGCGCGCAGTGGCAATAGCAAAATACCAAATAGAACGCTTAAAGAAGAAGTTGATGAGGAAGATGATGAGAATTTTTATAAAGTTCGTTATGATCACACTACCGATAAGTTGTTGGGGCCAAACGCCTTGACTGAGCAAGATGCGCTGCAACTAAATGTTGCTAATTTGCCGACACAAGATGACAAGGAAGCGCAAACTGATAGGAAGGCATTAAAAAAGTGATTACGTTTGCATTTTTAAACACTAGAATCATTTATCTGCAGTCTATATGTGCATACGTGCAGAAAAATTAATATATTTGCACATATGACTATGCAATTACATATGTACATAAATAATGTATATATGTATATACATATATAAAAGTTAGCGCGCGTTCTTACTATTATTTAATAAATTTTTATGTTACTTGCAGTGAAATCGAACAATCCTTGGCGGCCTCTATCTCTGACCGAGCCACTGATGAGGTGCTGGAGGCGCTCACACGCTACCGACGCGGCCTAGGCATTGCCGATTCACCATCTGTGCTGCTCGATGAGCCGCAAACACCTGATATTGTGCGCAGCCGTTCGAGTCATGTAAGTAGTTGACAAAATCTGTATTAGCTGGAGCAAAGTGCAATAAGCATAATAAATAATTGCAAGCAATTAGAACAAGTTGACTTTGAAATGCGCTGTTAGCTTTTTGTTATACATACAAACATTATTTGACGAGAAATGTAACGTATTTAAGGTTGTGTAGTGTAAATATGTCAGATAAGCGTATACCGGCACCCATAAAAATTTCCAATTCCTTATCAATTTTTTATATTTACACATACTTTATGTCTAGTTTGTTGTTGCTGTTGCAATATTTCTTTTTCGTACACCTTTAGCTTCTTCGTTTATTTTGCTTTTACTCTACAACCTACAATGCTGCGGTCGTCGAGCGAAATGCTAAATTAATTTTGTATTGCGTGAATTTTAACAATTTGGCGTTGCTTACTCAGGATGCCTTATCGTCGTTTCGATAAATTTCACAAATGGTAGTATGGCGCAGTACCGTTGGCATGCAAGCCCATAATAAATGAAAACACTTAAGGGGCATCTAATGCAATGTATTGTCAATTACAAATACGCACATACATCAATACCACTGAGTCTACGAAGAGTTTTTTTATCGCGTAGCTGAGCTCTACTTCTCTCTCAGCGTAGAATATACTTCGTACTCATATGTTTTATGTCCCATAAAGCATATATCTACATACATATGCATTTATTTTAAACTTTTAATAGACGTGTTGTTTTAATAAAATTAGTAGGAAACGATTGACAATAACCGTGGACACTTGATTACAAATTGTATATCAGGGGCATTGAGTTGTGTACCATATATATCTGACGTTAAAAACATTTTAGAGTCGAGTTAAATGTTTTGAAGAAAGCAAATATATACAAATTGCTAGAGATAAATATTATTATGCCCTGAACAGGGTATATTAAGTTTGCCACGATGTTTGTAAATTAAATAAATATAAAGGATAATCCATCTTTTATATTTTTCAATAGCCTTTTTTTGACAGAACGCGCATGAATCGTGTCAAGCTATTATGTAATTTTTGTCCAGTATTGTTTTGCAATTCATCGTGGAAAGACTTACGCCTGAAGAACGTTTACAAATCGTTCAACTTTATTATGAAAATTCACGTTCTGTAAAGAATGTGTTTCGCGCGCTTCGCTCAACTTATTGTAAACATAATTGGCCTATTCAGCGTACTATTCGCAACACCATCACCCATCTTAAGACCCAGCATTCATTATTCGATAATATTCGACCGAATAGACCACGTCCAGCACGCAGTGAACCGCGCCACTTCCCACACATCGCATCAATCAATGGATTTATTGCGAGAACACTTTGGTGAACAGATAATTTTACGTTTTGGGCTGGTCGTCTGGCCACCAAGATCGTGTGTTATCACACCGTTAGACTTTTTCCTGTAGGGATATGTATAAAGTCTAAAATCTATGCGGACAATCCCGTTTCGATTCAGAATTGGACTCAACGTATGGACCATCTGAGGCGTAGCCGTGGCTTACATTTGAAAGAGATAATCTTTAAAAAATAAATGTAAAAAAATGTTCATTCGAATGAAAGTAAACATTCTCCATTAAGTTTGAAATGGATCACTCTATATGGATGATCAGTGTGGCGAGCTGAGTTGATTTGAGATATCGATCTGAAATTTTGCCCACGTCATTTTCTCTCCAAAAATCTGACATCGAACCACTATAGCATATAGCTGTCATACAAACTGATCGTTCAAAATCAAGATAAAGATCTTTTTATAGCCTTTTATGCTATAAAAAATGCACCTGTAAAGGGTTGCAGCTTCGTTGCAGCCGAAGTTAACGTTTTTACTTGTTTTAATTTATTATTGTTTTGTTAAAGCGACCACATTTCATTTAGACCAGGGTGGAAAATTTTTGATAGTAGTATGAAACCCATCGGAAACGAAAGCTAAAATAGCAAACATTAAACCAAAAACAATTTACGGGCGATCTAAGTTCGGGAAAAGGAAGTGGCTTGACTGAATTTTTAAAGGTTAAAAACAGTTGCCGAATGTTCGAAAATTCTGATATTAGTTCAATGGGGGCTAGGTCAAGTTTTCACTCAATTTATTCATTTTAGGTACGAAGATACACTGCTATTAGAAAAACTCGCTCTCTAATTTTTATTGAGATAACTCACATATTGACCGATATATGCGGTATAATATCATCCGGAAGTTCGAAAATCTTTATATTAGGTATATTATGCAAACGAAAACTTGAGTAATCTTGTTGAGATATCTTGGAGAAACTTGGTACACGTATTCCGTACGTATTATTTGGAATCTCAGTGATAAGGGGCACTTGTGGGCTAAACATATTTAAAAAGTGGGCGTGGCACCGCTCTATAACAGGTGAAATATACATATCTTCCAAACAACTTAAGCTAACTCATCCAAACTTGCTGAGAAGAAGTCTTAATAATGGATGCAATACTTCCTACTATTAATTAAAATACATACGAAAATCTAGTTTACCTAGTATATCTTTACCTTGCGAGAGTATAAAATTATCGGTTATACTCGAACTTAGACCTTCCTTATTTGTTAAAAGTTTTCCAACACCAGAAGGTATTTGCCCGACTTTGATTCTAGAAAGAATAGGAGGAGAGCATGAAATGTTCGGTTGCACCCGAACTTAGCTCGTCCTTAATTGTTTTTATATTTAATTCTTAATTTCCCATTGTGCGCGAGTTGACACATTTATTTATTTATTTGTGATTACTTGCGCTTTTTTACAGCAATTTATTATTTTAACTTTAATCAGCGTCTTGGTGATATTTTATAGTACCACCCATTCACCCACTTTTTTTATCGGCTGACGGTCTGAATAAAACCAGTATTGCATTTATAAATATTTGATCTGAAAATGTAACTTTTATATTGTATTATTGAACGATTTTGTTTAAATTTTTTTTACTAATTTATTTTACTTAAGGTTATTTCTATTATTATCAAACTTTTCATCGTGCTACCGTTATAAGCATATTCCAGTGCTGTATTTTCTATTTCTCCTTTATTTTTGCTTGCAGGATGCCGATGGCCTGATAATACGCCCCGGACGTGGTTCAGTCTTACCCAAAATGGGTCTGGAATCGCCCACTGTAAGTTTTGCCACCCTCACACGCACACATACGCCACTGGATAGACTACATTTTCAATAACATTCAACCTAGATATTTATATATGTTTATCTATAACTATTTGCATAAATTAGAAGAGATGCGTGATTCATAGTCATTCCCCATTTAATATTTGAAAGCGCAGCATTAAACCAATACAAATACAGATTGCAATTGCTCATATTGTTTAGCAATTGTGGCAAACACTTATGAAAAATTCGTGCTAATTTTCGAAATTCGTGTAATTCTTCCTCTTAGTCATAATGCTTTATTTCTTGTATTATACAATACATATATAATATAAAAATATATTTTTTTATGCGTCTCGACTAATTCAGAGCAAAGACAGCATTTATTAAATAAGATAACTTTTGCAGAAACAGCAGTGAAAAGTAGCTAACAATCTAAGTATTCACACAAACACACATACTCATACATAAACACGCTGATATCAAAAATTGCAATTATCCACATACATAGATACTCAGTAGTCACCACACACACCTACCTGCACACACATTCATACATATACGTATTATTATATATTAGTAATCCAATTTGTGTACAGTAGACCACTACACACATGATTTCACACAGATTTTAGATGACAACAAAGAGTTTTACTGTTCCTTTCACAATAATCAGCAGATATTTAAATATTAAGTATATACATACATATGTATACATTATATAAAGAAATTAAATTAAAACATTTGTGTTTTGTTTTGTGTCTTCCCCTTTCTACGTCTAAAAAACAACAAATATAAAAATAAAAAAAACTCAAATGCATTTTCATCACTCACTTTGCATATGTTTGTATGTTTGTTTCACTCTGCATAATTCTACAAAACAAAAAATACCGTTGAACAACGCGCGTTATCAATTTAATCTTTTTTTTTTTAATATTTATAACACAATTCATGAAAACAACAATAACAAAAATTTTGAACAAACCAAAATTATTAATTAATAATTTTTGTTTTAAAAATTGTCTTAAAATTATAAATTCTCAACATTTTTCCAATCCTTCGGATCTAACACTAAAAACAACGACAATCATTCGCACGCAACGCTTTCATTAAAAACATGCTAATTTTGTCTTCTACAAACACTTTACTAATATGTAAAACTATTAACAAATTATCGAACGTCACAAACAAATCAAATCACAAAATGTTCATTCATAAAGAAATTGGAATATCTGAACCTTGTAAGTAGTGGCCTTCATACATATTAATCGCACAAATGCCTGTATTTAATTTGCTGCTATTTATTTTATGTTGGCATGATTACTATATGTACTTGTAAATATTTTTTCCATAACTGTTAAAAAGTACATTTTAGCTTTATTTTAACATTTGGTAAACAATATCCTTCCACTTAAATATTTTTATACCCTTAACAGGGTATTTTAAGTTTGCCACGATGCTTGTTACACCCAAAAGGTAACGCGGAGACTCCATAAAATATATATACAAATGTTTCTCGTGACGAGCTGTGTTCATTTAGGCATGTCCGTCGCATGTCGTCGTTTTCTCACCTGCTCATTTGTCGGAACCGCCGATATCGGACAACGATACCATATAGCTGCCATACAAACTAACCGATCTAACTCAAATCCTTATAGGGAAATTTTTTTATTTGGCAAGATATCTTCAAGAAATTTGACATGAGTTATTACTTAAGGCAACGGTACAATCTCCGAAGAGATTGTTCAGAACGGATTACTATATGTTAGCATATAGCTGTCTTACAAACTGATCGATCAAAATCAAGATAAATCTCTTTTATACTATTTTATGTTATAAAAAATGCATCTGTGAAAAGTATTATAGTTTAGATGCAGCCGAAGTTAACGTATTTTATTGTTTTTCTTTGAAAATAAAAATATTTGTAGCTAATGATAGCTAAAATCCAGACATTAGCTAGTACGAGCACTTAAAAAATTATTGTTAATATATCACGTGGACATAGTTTTCCCTAATATAAGTAATTCTTGATAGACAGTATCTAGAAAGCCCTTAATCCCGTTGAAAAGTCACATATATTCGGTAGCATATGCTAATTTGTAATATATTTTAATAAAATATAATTTAATATATTTTATAAAATATTGTAAAAATTATTATTTGTAATTATTTCAGTTACAATCTAACCTCATTTCGCTCATATTTCATTAAAAAGCATTTCAAATTCAATTCGTAACACTATTCGTACTATTTTTTCACGAGATGGAGCTAAACGATTTATAGTGTTCAATTGAAAATTAGCATAATAACGCTTTCAAAAGATTCAAAAATAACTTCAAAGGCAAGGCAAAAAATAATAAAACATATACATAAAGAAAAACTAAGCGGCTGTAAATGTTAAGCCATCAGCATAACATTAGCATCACAATTCAGAATTGAACACAATATAATTCTTAGCCAAATCTCTTACTCATTCGCTTTCGAATTTCTCTTTTCTGCCAGCTCTCACAATTTTATTAACTTTCATTCTGTTTTGCACACTCTTGTTATTTGCACGTTTATAAAGCACATAATTAATTTATTTTCTTCACTTCCCCTCCCTTATTCCATTTTTCATATAGGCTACCCCACACATGCCCACCAAGCGTCGTTCGGTGGCGCGCAAAGTGCGTCCTCAGTCCGTCGTGGAGAATCTCAGCTTGGGTCATATACCCGACCTACTTGAGTCACCCTCTTCGCATCGATCCTCGTCACAGCTATCGCCACGCGATTCGAATGGCATGGGCGCCAGCATTGCCGGCACCACTACGGGGGGTAGCGGCAATGGCTTGGATGATTTAGGTGGGGATGAATGCGGCGACTCGATAACTGAACTGCCCAGCGCTTCATTCCAATTGCAACATCTGGTTAAGGGTAGACCGAAACGTGCCAAGACGCGCGCACCAACGCGACCGTTGGTTGCGGTGGACAATAGCGCCGGGCCGAGCACTAAGGAAATAGGCGAGGGTTTGGATTTATTCTTTCGTCCCGGTTCGGTGACGCCTACTACGTTGACGCCGCTGATTTCACCCACCTCCGAAGAGTGCAGTTCGCTATCGTTTGTCGATAGTCCTACAATGAGTCGTGATGGCAATGGTCATTTGACATCCGAAGAAACTACACCCATCTTGGAGGAGCGCAGACCCATTAAGCTGGATCGGCAGTCACCATTGCTCAAGGGTAAATGTAATACCTCAAACTGGGAGTTGTTGCTTGAATCTCTTGCATTATATAATCATTTGATACTTTCAGGTGTGCCATGGACCACCCGTTCGCGTTCGACAGACAATTTGGAAAAATATTCACCACTAATTGGCCGTAAATCACCGCTGGTGAAAATGCGTACTGAAGGTGGTAGCGTTGCGGCGGGTGATAATCCGAATTCAGCACTGAAAGCGCCGGAACGTGAGAATAAAATGCGTTCGCCAAGCAGTGATTCGATACGTAGCCACACCGGTGGTGATGGTATCAGCGTTAAGACCACTAACGGTATTATACGCACACCAATAATACTGCAAAAGCCGCGTCCCTGGTCCGTAGTGGGAAACGAACCCAAAGCGCCTGGTGCTAACGACTTCCAAAGCAGCGACTCAAGTAAAACGACGCCAGAAAAGCTCGATGAAGGTATGCGGACTATTTATTTATATAATTCGTTTTTAACTTGCCTAATGATTTATAAATTGCAGATTCCGAATCCTTATCGTTTAGTCAAAGCAGCAACAATGTCGGCAGTACGCCAGGTAAGTCATGGTGCTTATTTTGTATATTTAAAAAAATTAAGAAAAGTTGTTTATTTAAACCAATGAAGCTCAGTTTTGTGCCTTCTGAAACAAATTTCAGTAAAATGTGCTTGTATATGAAATACGTTTACAGCGAACTTTATAGAAATTTTCATAATGAAAAATATTAAAATATTCTATAATTATACCCTAAACAGAGTATATTAAATTTGCTACAAAGTTTGTAATACCTAGAAGGAAACGTTGGATGCCCTATAAAATATGCAATACAAGGTACAATTCAAAAGTTCCAGGACTTTTTAAACAACGCGGCTTCTAGTGGCGCCATCTGTCTGAAATTGTTATCCCTCAATTGTGTATTCTTCAGTGTTGTCGTATAAAATTTATATAACAGCTGAAATATCGCGCTACATGTGACATTACATATGTAGTGTCGGTCGGAAAACGAGCATCGAACAAAGAGCCAACATTAAGTTTTGTTTTAAACTTCGTAAAACTTTTACCAAAACTCATCAAATGATGAAACAAGTTTAACAACCCAAAAAATCGCGCCTGGAGAAGTCAAAAGTGAAGACAATGCTGATTTGTTGTTATGATTCCAAGGGTATTGTCCACAAAGAATTTGTTCCACCCGGCCAAAACTTAATGCGGTATTCTACCTTGGAGTTGGCCATGAAAGGAAACCGCTATGCTGACATTGATGCCATCCAAAAGGCGACGACTGCCATCCTCAACGCTATACCGAAAAATGACCTAAAAAAGTCATTCGATAACCTTCTTGAACGTGCAAAACGTTGTATTCAGGCGGAAGGAGACTATTTTGAAGGCGACCAAAAAATTTTTCAAAAAAAACAAATAATATTCGTTTTTTAATAAAAGACCTGAAACTTTTGAATTACACCTTGTATAAATAAGTGTTTGAGATTTTCTATTTAGGAAGCTGCTCATTTGTCGGAACTGCCGATATCGGACCACTAAAGCATATAGCTGACATACAAACAAACCGATCAAAATCAAAGCTTTATATATATTATATGGAAACCTTTTTTATTACACAAGATATCTTTACGAAATTTCACATAGATTATTGTCCAAAGCAACGATATATTCTCCAAACAAATTGTTCAGATTGAGCCACTATATCATATAGCTGCCATACAAACTAACCAATCAAACACAAGTTCTTGTATGGAAACTTTTTTATTTGTGGAACCGAAGTTAACGTTTTTTCTTGTTTTTAGCGCATATCAATTAAAAACGAAACTTTGGGATTGTATTTAGGCTATTAGGTACAGTTATAATTTTCTAAAATATTCGCCAATAAAATTGTTGGAGCAGAATATAACGTAATAAATATTAATATTTAATTAGCACAAACCACTTTTTTATAATTTTATACTTTATTACTTTCCTTATCTGTATTTTAAACCTGTGAATATTAAATATAATATATATTTGATTCACATTTTCGCTTTTCTTATAGGTCCCGCATTGGAGAAAAAATCTGTAAGGGAGCTTGCAGCAGGCTTAAGCCGCTTGGGTATGTACATTTATTCGCAAAGTTAATATGCTAGCATACTTTTGAATGAACGTATTTTGAATGTCTAGTGAGCCAATGAGTTGCAAAAAAATTCTTCTTACGCATTTATGGTTTTTCGGTTCCAAAAGTAAATTTGCACGAAACTTTATTTTTAGCAATAGACTTCTTCATGAATAATTTCTTAATTTACTTTCTTCTGTTTACGTATTTAAATTTATTTTCCTTATTCTTTTACTTTTTTTGTTGGTTTGGCATGCAAAACGAAACAATTTAGAACTTCCAATGAAGCCACAAGTGTTGCCGAGAACCCTGCTCACCGGCGCATCGGCGATATCCAAGTCCTCGTCGACTTCGCACATCACCAGCACGAACAGTAGTAGCATTAGTAGTAGTAGCAATAGTGCGAGCAGTCGAAGTAGTAACACTACCACAACAACAACAATGCTGCAAACGCAACGCATGAGAATAACAAGTAATAACAGCAGCAGCAGCTCTACAACAACAACGACGAACACCGCCTCGCCAAACGCGACAAACGGCAATGATAATCACGAAACATTGCTCACCAAAACCGTTATCACTGAAAATGGCAACGGCAGCAGCAGCAGCAGTTTTATAACGAACGAAATCATTAATATACGTAACGGTACCAACAGCTGCAGCACCGCCATCACCCACAATCGCGATAGCACCAACACAAGCGCGAGCGAAAGCAGCAATGTAGATCGTTTGAGCAGCGGCAGCAATGCCTCGAGTTTGGGTATACCTGTTGGTGGCTTTAAGCGAATTGCGGGCAAAGAGATTTCCGCATTATTCGAGGTTTGAACACGCTTTTTTGGATTTACATACGATATATATTTTATACGAAACCAAGTGCTCTCTGTGGCTAACGTCGAGTTGCTTTCGATGTGTTGAGGGCGCATTGAAAGCGCCGATAACTAATAACATGTGTACATATGTGTCCTTTTCATTGCTGTTCAGTGTCTGTCTAACATGCGGTAAACAACCAGCATTCATACTTGCATACGTGTTTGTGAAAGCTACTGTTCAACACAGGAACTACATCAACGATTGACCGATCGCTTTCTAAGGTGCTAAACTAATGAAAACAGCAACAATAACTATTTACAAAAAAAAAAAAAATAATTAAATGCAATCATAATATCTTTAGAAAAGCGTGATAAACTTAAAAAGCTTTGTATTTACTCTTCGCTGCCGTACGCCATTTAAAATTGCTATAAAACGAAAAAAATTTAAAACTGGCTTAAAACACTATTTGGCGCTTCATGAAATTTTGATGCTTACTTTAATGTTTTATATGTGAATATATGTACATATGTACTATGTTTTTATTTATGTTACTAATTTTGCATTTTGTAAGTTAACTAACATTTGTGTTATTATACCGTTATTAAGTTATAAAAATATTCATATTGCAGAAGAACTTTTCTATTTATAAGATGTTCATGATCATGTTGTATCACGTTCTGTTTCATTGTGCGTGTTCTAGGCTACCATTGGGATCTGTAGCGACTTCTGAATGTTTGTAATTAAGTAAATTAAATAAAAATAATAATAGCTTTAACATTTCATGCAATATTTCTCTGTTTCTTGATATCAGCATTGTACATAAATATTTCTCGAGTCATTAAATGGTTTTTCATTTAACAAAACATTACCAAGACATTTCGAATAGATGAAAGTGAGAGGAATTGACATTTCTGGCAACTGTAACATTAACTTTGAAAATTTCTAAAACAACTTTCGGACAGAAAAGTGAACATTTAGAGTTTTGACAAATATTTCCTTAGTATTCCATAAGCATATTCGAACTAAAATTTTATTATACCGAAATTATATTTTCCGAATAAATCCGTTTTGCATTAAGTGCATTCCTAATGATAACCAAACGTGCTACTATCGGTGAGATTGTGTTTTAGGCTTATATTATATATTAAATGATATTACTTTTACACTTATTTACTTGGCCAACGGCACATATGCTGCCTTAAGAAAGTTCGTATAAGTCTTTCGATTTTGCTTTATTTTTGTTGAAGTTTAAATTTATGTTTCAAACTATTAATAAAGGAAATAAAACAATATTATTTGAAGTACAACTCTAAGATCCCAATGCATGTTAATTCTTTCATAAATTTATATAATATTAACGTAACATAATTATAACGTCTTGCAAATACGTTTGTTTGTATTTTAAAGTTAATTATGTAATTAAATATGTATTTGTGTTGTGCGTACTATCTACATACTACATATAAATATTATCACCTTACTGCTATTTATTTACTGCTCCAATATTAAGTATTCTCTGCCTAAATTACCTTTCTAGGAGACATTAGTTGAAGGCCTACAACGCTCTTCGACTCGACGATTATTTAGAGACACACAATATACAAAGGAAGATGTTGTTGATTTGTGAGACATTTGAAATAAATAATTTTCAAAGTAGAATACAGAGCTGCAGTGAAGCAGATGCACCGACAACAGCAATATGTGGTAGTAATAGTGATTTATGTAGTCAAAACAGATAGTGGAAAAGATCTTTATATTAGAAAAAATATTTAATGGAAGAGAAAATAAAAATGCCACGTGTGTTTAATTGTCAACTACGAAACAATGCACATGGACCAAAGCCAATAACAAATAGGAAATTAGAATTAAACTTGAGTGAAAACATATTTTTCGAATTTCATGCAATCGGTTGGTCTAAAAATGTTTATGTACGAATCTTCTTCAATTACTTCGCGATTTGTGCAATCTTCACGAGCCTTATTTTGTAATATTTCTTATAAAATATTTATATTTTACTATTTTTGGTTGCATTATTGATATATTAGCCTTGTTGGCAATTGGAGAGTATATTAAATATAAATTAAATCTTTATAAACTCGTATATATGTACATACTTATTTCTATTGTTTACCTTAATTAATTTCGATATTAAAGCGTTATGTGTGTGTTTTAGTTTTTAGTTTATGTATATATTGAATATTAGCTGTGTTTCATATTTCGACATGAACTAACATTTACAATAAATTAAAAATAAAATAAAGAAATGTAAGGTGTGTGTGTGTGCGCGTTTTATATTATGCTAAACTTGTACGTATTTACATATGCTGATATACATTTCTAACTACCCAAATATGTATGAATATGTATGTATTGATTTTAAGTGCCAATCATATTTTATGAACAAATAAATAACCTAGAAAAAAGGGAATAAAAAAAATGAAAATTTCATGAACAAACGCTGGCTATTTAAATTAAAAAATGAAAACTATGTGGTAACTAATGGAAAAAACTTTTTTTCAGAAATGTTTTCACTGATAAGTTTTATGTGCTAATATACATTATACATATATATTTTTATAACTGCTTCCATTCAATAGCAATAAGTTTTTGCACATGTTTTTTAAGTAGACAAACTTTCTAAACTAAATTTGTATTTTGAGGGGCTTAATTGTGTAATGTAAATTTTGAAAACCTCTGGACTGCTTTAGTAACTACTAGTAATTGGTAAAACTCAGAACAAAATTTGTTTTACTGCGTCCATTTTTGTTATTCATAAATTTTGTATGATTAATAAGTTATCAATATTAAGTTTATTTTCTTCGAAATATCAATTTAATTATAACGATAAAATGACAATCTTAAAATGCATTTATGGGATATCAAACGTATGTTTTATGTTCGTATTTAGCCAGAAATGTGTTCCGACAATATTTATTTGTACAAATAAATCAACGAGTTTAACTAAATTCTTTCAACATCAAAAAAAAACAATTAAGAGTCTCTTATTATCCGTAAACTATATGATAAAAGAGAGCCACTATAACATGACAGAAATAAAGCAGTTAAATATGAATAGAAAGCAACATTTTACGATACAATAATAATGAGGAAGTTATATACATTTCCTTATATAAAAAAGCATGGGTAATTTTCGTTCCATTTTGGATTAAATTCTGAAATTAACTTCGAGTACATATATGGAGCTTGTCAGTTTGGAACAAGCTACAAATTTCTAGTCCCCACCTTGCATTATAAAACAAATAAATACCAACTGCACTGAAATATATACCATAGTTGAAACAAGTATTCAAATAAATGATATAAGAGTAGCCTAACACAACAACAAATGTTTCACAGAACAAGAATGACAATTAAAAAATAAAATTTCAAAACGTTACATAATATGGTTTTATTTCAAATATGCAGCGGCTGTATTAAGGGGTTACATGGGCTTCGTCGGGTAAAAAAAGGCCTATTTTCATAATTTTTTTCTATATAAAAAATAATTAATTTAATTTTTTCTGTCTTAAAGATACACATTTAAAGAATAATTTCTGCGATTAAAACTCCGCCATTGTAACGTCATTTCCGGTAACCCCTCGAAAAAAAGGTGCGTCCGCGTTGACAGCATAACTCCTACAGGATTATCTAAAATGAAAAAAAAAAATTGTGTTTTAGTTAAGACAATAAACTCGTCAATAATAAAGCTGATGTTCCTTCATTGAAGGTGCAAGCAGCGACCAATGCCGCAATATTAACAATCTTTGAACCAGCAGGCAGTATTTTTGTAGTAATTTTCCAGGTCAACTGGTTGAAGCTGTCGTTGTTTTGTGTGAAACCATCAACACACCGTTCCAGAAGCTCATTCTTACTGAGATCTTCTATTGGTTTTATAACAAGATTAGACTAGATTTATTTTTGAGGTATGCACCGCGACCTACGGTCTATTGTGCCCTCCCCTAAGTCATATCGTGTCATCTAGGCCCAGCATGTTGATAAATTCCAAAATTCTGCTGGGTGCTAGTGAGGCGATACAATCCCTGTGTGGAAACATGGATCCCAGGGCCTTGATTCTGCGTCTGCAGACTGCTGTGCAGTTCATCAGCAGATGTTCGGGGGTTTCCGGCTCTATGTCGCAGAACCGGCAGTTTGCAGAAGAGGCTATGCCCATGTTAAAGAGGTGCTTCTTGAGCCTGCAGGGGCCGGTGTAGAACGCTACCAGTAGCCGGAATTTGTTTCTTGGGAGATTTATTATGGCTTTGAACCGCTTGAGGTCGTAACCCCCCATTAGCAGTCTGGCATGGTACATGCCCTGGAGTTGTTGCCAATTTATCTCCCTGCCAGCTCTTTCCTCCCTTCGGAGGAGCTCTTTGATGGTATGTGGACCAAGCGCTATGTATGGTTCCGGCCCTACCATTTTTGTAGAGGCTGCAGAGCGAGCTAACTCGTCAGCTAGTTCGTTCCCAGCTATACCCCTATGGCCAGGCACCCAAATAAGGTGCACTTGGTTGTGCTCAGATAGGCTGTTCAGCCGTTCTATACACTCCATCACTAGAAGAGATCTAATCTCATAGGCAGAGATTGCTCTTAGTGCCGCCTGACTATCGCTGAGTATAGCGATACTTTTATTGCGATAGTTGCGTTGGAGGTTTATTTCTACACACCGACTTATAGCATAGACCTCGGTTTGGAAAATGCTAGGGAAACTTCCCATGGCAATGAAGAGTTTGGTGCTTGGCCCAGCGACCCCTGAACCAATCCCCTCCTCCGTTTTCGACCCGTCGGTGTACCACTTGATGGTGCTACCCCTCAGCAGTAGGTCCAGTGAAGAGTCATTCCACTCAGATTTGCTGCCAAGGGTTACTTGGAACTTCCTGCTGAAGTTTACTACTTTGGTAATGCTATCCCTTGGGAGAAGGGTTAGTGGTATTTCCTCACTTAGCTCTTTCATCTGCTGGGATGAGATTACTTTCCCTTTGCCAGCTCCCTCTGCTGTCATTTGTAGCAGAGTTCGTCTGGCAGTCTGTTTGATTACCAGGTGTAGCGGTGAAAGTTCTAGCATGACTTCCAGTGCTGCGGTCGGACACGTTCACATCGCTCCCGACGCGCAGATGCAGGCAAGTCTTTGCAGCTTCGACAGTTTAAGTCCTACCGAAGTCTGCGATGCTTTCGAACCCCACGATACCGCTCCATACGTGATAATCGGTCTCACGATCTTGGTGTACATCCACCTGATAGTCCTTGGGGAGCACCCCCAGGATTTTCCAGGAAGTCGGTTGCACACCATGAGTGCTTTTATAGCTTTGGTTAGGGTCTGGTCCACGTGCTGATTCCATCGCAGTGTGGAATCCAGCGTGAGGCCCAGATACTTGACCGTGCTGGCCATATCAATAACTCTGCCGTCCATGGATATATTTCTGAGGCCCGGCAGTGACCTCCGTCTGGTGAAGGGAATGATTGTAGTTTTGGCGGGGTTGATGTTTAAGCCAACCCCACTACACCATCCCTTTGCCAGTCCCAATCCCCTCTGAACGATATCGCAGAGTGTGTCTTCAAATTTTCCCCTAGCTGAGATAACAATGTCATCCGCATTTTTATAACAAACAAAACTTTATATGGTAATGGAGTATACACATATTTAAATGATGAAAGAATATTTGTAGCTGATGCTCGTAGCCAAGCGCACCAAGAGTCTGGACCTTTAGGGCAGTTATCGTGCTAAGGTTTTTTATCTGTAGATCTATAGTGATAATAGGTATCCCATATAGCGTCTTTCACTTTTTTCGCTGATTCACAGTTTCTTCTTATCGCCAAACCATAGCACACAGTTTGTCTATTAGTTTACACGTCAGTTGCCCTTTGCCAGAAAGTTTTTTTTTGTGTTTTTTACCGTTTACTATTTTTTCCTCAGTTGTTTTCTTTACTAACTCACGCAAACTATTCTTTTTTGCACGTGCTCCAGGCATTTTTTTTATTGATAACAAAATCTTCACCGTAAGGTGGGGCTTTGAGAAGACCAGAGTAGGTTTTTGAGTCCCCATCTGCTATATAATTTAAAAACCTCAGTCCATGTTTGACAATCAAGCGTTTAAAAATTTCAATAATCGATGAGACTTCCATGTTACCTGATGCTCCAGTGTGATTGGCGGTGCATTTATTTGTTTCAATGTGTTCTTCTTTCCATTCTTCATATTCTGCTGTATCTAATTTTTTTACAGCTTTCACATAACTTACAATAAAAAGATTTCACCAACACATCCAACACTTTTCCTGAATAATATGCTATTAGTGAACGCACACCATATGTTGATGAGAAACCACATTTCTTCCAGGTACCGTCAACGGAAACACTCACATCTGTCGTGACTTGTAAATCGTTTTCAAGACTTCATAATTTGTTTTCTTCTTGAGCAGCAGATAAGAATAGTTTGAGTAACTGTCTCAATACTCATGTATTTTATCAATATAAAAATCGTATGTAGACTGGTTTAAAAATGAACTGCTTATGTTCATCAAGCCGCAGAATTTCTTGCATCCGGCGAGCCCAAAGCCCAATATTCTCATAACAAAAATGAACCGGCGTTTTAGTTCTTACATTCTTCCGACTTTTTGACAAGATAAGATATATTTCGGACCACATCGTTCACATTCTACTACGATTTTAAATCCCAGACCAAATTTCGAAAATTGCTTAAATTGTACTTTACCATTACACAATTGATCTTCATCTTCATTTTTAATAATGTTAGAACACCGCTCAAACGATGAGAGATTTGAGAAAATCAAGGCACAATCTGTGATTGAATATTGGGGCGTGTGCCTCTTCTGGCAGGTGCTCTTTATCATCACCTTTTATTTTATTTTTTTTGCTGAGGTGCTCGTGAAGGAACTATCATCAGTTTCCGGATCTTTAGGATAAAAGGACTGTTTCCTTTTTCTCGGTCTATCATTTCTACGAGTTCCGATGGCTAACTGTTTTCTTGAAATTTTATGCATTGTTTATCAACTTCATAACTGACACTAGATAACCACCAATAATACCACGTTTTTTATAAATGTTATAATGATAGAAAGTTGGGATAACCTTAAATAAACCTCGTCCTTCAAGGAGTAATCACCATGATATAAAGGGCATCGTAAAGGGCACTATACCATGATCAAGGGAGTAGCGAAAGTGCCCATTCACAGTACTTTCGCCACCTCCAAGGCGTAAAAAACACCGTAATAATTATTTATAAATATTTTCAATATTGGTTATAGAATGATGTTTATTGCTGTTATGAATTATTGTATATGAATTTGATATTATAAGTCATAATAATTCATATAACCAATAAAACAAAAATTATTATTGTCATACAAGTCATAAAAATTAATTTAAACAATAAAGCAAAATTTATCATTGTATATACATATATCAAAAAAGAGTTACTGAGCCGATGTTTTCTCTTATTTAGGTATAGATTTATTTAATCACAAATTTTATTTACATTTTATATAACAACATTTAGCGATGAAAATATGTACCATATTTTATAATCCTTTCCTAAAAAGTAGTTAAAAACTAGCTTACGCAACACTGTTATGCAATGCTCAATACAAATACTGGCAACCCATTTGAATATTTATGAGATGGACGGACTTATTCTTTACAAAGGTGAGTTGCATTTGAGTATTGTTTTTAATATAATTATTATTTTGTATAAATTTATTAAATTTGTCTAAAGTTTCGCTGAACAATCATTTTGTGGATCCCGTTATTTGACGTGGTTGCTTAATTGCATCTTTCATTTTTCTGTGGTGAATACTTATTAATTTAATTTAGTTAAAAATAGGCACAAATATATATATATTGTGGAATTTGACAATTATAGTCGCTCTTTTAAGAATATATATTAAAATAAACCGATTTTATTTTGAAAAAATTCAAAAGTTTTATATATAACCAATATTTTTTGGACAACTTTTTCATAAATTATAAGAAAATAGCAATATGCAACCATTTTCCGGTTAGAAGACGACCATCTTGGATGTCAATAGAAACTCAACCCCTAGGTGGACTTGAAGTTTTTCAATGGAACTCCTCAGCTGTAGTTTTTTTTACATCTGATCAGCTGATAGTTTCTCTACTCTCCAGCATGGATATCATGATACGAAACTGTTCTCTTTGCTTTCTGAGAGAGTTCATGAACTTTCAGTGCTGCCAAAAAAACCACGAGCTCATGAGCTACTAAACAGATGACAAACAAAATAATGGACTGCTACATAAAATCCAGGTAAAAATAACTGACAAAATCAGTTCATTATTTTTCGTAAGAAAGTTTAATGCTGAAGCAGCAATAGTTAATGTGATATTGTTAATTAAAAATATTTGTATAAGTGTTTAAATATAAAATAAAATTGAGAAGGTGGTAAAATATCTTCAAATCCCTACGGAAGCATATGTGTGTAAACTTTATTTTTTGAATTTTTTTTCCATATATGTAAATATATAAAGTTGAGTTATTTTCAAAGCTCTTATTTTCTTTTCGGTCCTTATAGTTTTAAATATTGTAATTAATTATTACTGAAAACTGGGTGTAGGATATTTTCTATATATGTAAATATGTCAATATTAGGCATTAGTTATATTTATTTATTTATTTTAAATATTTGCTGTCCACAGCTTTATTATATGTGAATGTGATATTTTGTTTATAAAATTTAAAGTTTTTTCTTATATGATGAATTTTTTATATATTTATATTATTTGTGAATTTTGGAAATTATTGTGATTTTAATTTGTACCTATATGGGTGATATAGGCCTACGGGGGAACCGAGCACCCAAAACTAACTTCGGTAATTCGCCTTTTGTATACCTCAGCGGTTGTGTGGAAATTACAAATTCCCAAAAAATGTAATAAAAATTCCCTAACTTATTTCTTTCCACAGTGGCACCACTGTCAAATGTTATAAAAAATGTGGACTTTTACAGCGCTCTCTCGATTCAAAGAGTTTCGGATCATATTATCCATGTTGTATACAACAATGACAGATAAGATATAGACGAGCAGCTGCTTCCTATACCTGAGGCGCGCTGACCCTTCTATACCTGACTTTGAGCTCACACTTTCCAAAGGCTGTATCTCCGAAACTATTTTTCGGATCGGCTTGAAAACTTATGATACAATTTTTGAGATGCTGTAGAAATTAATGAGCCAGACAAATCGATATTTTAAACCCACGAGAACCATGTAACCCCTTAAATCAACTGTACCTATTTATTAAAGTAAAAATTATGCAACCAAGTGTAGTTTTACGATTGGGGCAGCACTTACACTTTTGACATGCGGCTTGTCAAATTGAATTTTTTACTGTATCTGACGCTTGTCCACATTGTAGTTTTCAATTGTTTTGCTTTTTCTATGATAATCTAATAATTTCACGTAAAAAGTAATATATTCAATATTACACTAAAGTGTTAGTAAAAATAGTGTCACATATACTTTAGAAAAAATATAGACATGGTGAAACTAACGCCGGAGCTTGTTAATCAGTCAATGCAATATATAAATCCATGCCGGGAGCGAGAATTGGATTTGCGCGGTTACAAAATTCCACAGATTGAAAATTTAGGAGCCACATTAGATCAATTTGATACAATAGACCTTTCCGACAATGATTTGCGTAAATTGGATGGCATACCTTTTTTGCCTCGCCTAAAATGCCTGATACTTAATAATAATCGTATCCTGCGTATTGGCGAGGGCTTACATGAAACAGTACCCAATTTAAATTCAGTTATCTTGACTGGAAATAATCTACAAGAATTAAGTGATCTGGAGCCACTTGCTTTGCTACCTCGTCTTGAAACGCTTTGCTTACTAGTAAATCCTGTTTCAACAAAACCCTATTACCGCGAGTACATGGCGTTCAAGTTTCCTCAACTGCGTCTACTAGATTTTAGGAAGATCAAACGGAAGGACCGTATTGAAGCGCAAGAATATTTCCGAACAAAACAAGGTAAAGATATGCTGAAGGAAGTGGCAAAGAAATCGAAATTAAATGCCTCAACCGCTGCTGCTGAAGTAGGTGGCAAGTCTGGAATAAATGTAGCAGCAAGAACTGCCAATCCTGAAGACTTGCAACGTATAAGAGACGCGATAAAGCGCGCAAACTCACTACAAGAGGTGGAACGGCTATCACGTATACTTCAAAGTGGACAACTGCCCGAAAATTTTGAACTGGAATTGAGTCTAAATGGTGCGACGCTGAATGGTAACGCGACTGGTGGTAGTAATAGTGTTGAAACTATGGATTATTAAGTTAAGCCTTGCTTATAGTTGATTTAAAATAATTTTTTCTTTACAATTTTATGAAGATTTATAATAAAAAATGAATTGAAAACAAGAACAAGTTTTAAGAACTAACGGTATTTAAACGTTTATTTTTTCATAGAAAAATTTAAACACGTATGGATAATGATACATTTAAGCAGCACATCTAATGACAAAATGCTGATAAATGCAGAAACGTGTAAGGAACGAATCTCAGTGTATAATTAATTACATTTGTCATAAATTTTCTAATTGTATTAACTAATAGTTCTAAAATTATGATGGTCGAAAGCTATACATTTAACTGTAAGGAACTGCATAGATAGTTGGGAAGGGTCACTTTTTCACATCTGCTGAATTATTTCGCCCGCGTACTATTGGCTATTAACATGTTGCATTCACAATGGGAGAAAATTTTAATTGATATTTTCGAAAGGTATTTTGTTGATGTGCTTAAGTCTATTGTTTTTGGGTTTAACTAATCTGCAAATCCTTAACTTTTGAAACTGCTTTATGACAGCTCCTTTTCAGCCATTATGGTATCATAATGCAGCCCAGTGTAGAAAATTATCCACGTCACAAGAAAACCGGCAAATGACGTCATAAATCCCTCTTTAACCAGCTCCCAGGCGCCACCGTAAGCCTCTTCATCAATTCCTTGGAAATTTATGGAATAAATGTACACAATGCCACAACTAATACCAGCGAATCTATAGAAACCGATGAAAAAATATTTATGAGTTTACATATGATGTCTTGTTATTAAGAGCTTCTTTACAGTACTAATCCTAGGAAGCCCTTTAATGGCACAATGCCCCATACTATGCCTAAAAGAATTCCAAATATCTGTCTCGCCCAGTAGACAACGTCTAAGAATTCATCCTTTAAATGAAAGAAATAAAAAAGGGGTGACAAAGTTCTTTCTAATTACATATTTCATTTCACCTTTATAAGCATTACCAACTTACCTTGTCTGGCCATTCGGAATTCGCTTTCAACGCCCTTGAGCAAATCTCTGAAAGATTTAATGTCTTTGGGCTACCATTACTATTGCGTTCAATTGTGTTAGTCCTTGTTGACATTTTACTAATGTGCTTAATTTAATGGAAAGCAGAATTAAAATAAATTTACTAAAGTTAATCTCGTGCAATGATTAGAGAAAAACTCCAGGGACGTGTAAGTAAATTAGTAAATGTCACTTTGACATTTCGTTTCACGTGGGAACAGTTGTTGTTCTCAATATCGTTGCCGTATTAACGCAATTACTTCACTGACACCTTGAATGAATTTACTTTCCGTTATTATAATTTGAACTTTTCTTGATTTTTGCTTATATAGCGGATAATGCTATAATATAAACCGTTCTCACGACAGTCGGGTCTACGTAACCGGAACGGACCCGGGTTTATTCCGGCCAAGGACTGTCAACTCGGCAGATTTCTGCCGCTACAACAACAACAACATAAACATTTTAATTTCTTCGAAACAGTAATTTTTATAGAGATTTTCTGTATACACTTTTTTTTTAGAAAAATAAGGAATATAGAACGTAGTAGAATGCCAAGAATATAATGAATATTTATATGTACGTACGCGTTTGAGTTCATATTATTATTCTATTAGCTTTATTGTACACTAAACTGGATTTATATAATGTGCAACGATTTTTGTAACACCAAAAAAGGAAACGTCGGAGACCCTATAAAATATTTATACATATAAATGATCAGCGTAACGAGCTGAAATGATTCAGCCATGTCCGTCTATTTGTCTAACTGTTTATACATATGTATGCGAACTAATCCCACAGTTTTTGAGATATTGATCAAATATTTTGCTCAAGTCATTTTCTCATTTTATCGGAACCGTCGATATCGGAAAACTACATATAGCTGTAATACGAACTGACCGATGCAACTCAAGTCCTTTTAAGGAAAACTTTCTTATTTGGAAAGGTATCTTTACGAAATTTGTCGTAGATTATTATCCAAGGCATCGCTACAGTCTTCGAACAATTCCCACAACAGCCGGTTCTGCGATACCGGAATTGACCCGGCCAAGGGCTGTTATTTCGACGATCTAACCCTGTTTGGATCGGTAAGTTTTAGATTAAGTTTGTCGTCATTGGAGCAACGCCTAGCAGCAGGGTTGCTCCGTATCCTCCTGACCCGTGCTGGCATCGAGTCCAACCCGGGCCCCGAGGTATTCTACTGCTGCGTATGCGCAAAAAGGCTCCATCCAAATTCCACCTCGGTTAGGTGCAATACATGCAATGGATGGAGCCATCTTAAGACCTGCTCGGGCCTTAAGACACACAGGGAGTGGACCACGAGTTACGTGGCCCCATGCTGTCAACGCAATAATGCGACATCTGCCTCAACGGCCGTGCAACCTGCACCATGTTCGCGCACTGCGCTGCCACTCCAGTCGAGTGGCCAAGATAGGACCTCCACGGTCCTAAGGAGCTCACATAGACAGCATAACTCCCAATCTGACCAACCCCCCCCCCCCCCCCCCAACCTTCATCCAGCTTCAATCCTCGTGCGAGAACCACACAGCAACTCCTGGTTCCTCGCACAGTCTGTTCCGTGTGTCAGACCATAATACGCCGGAATGTCACATCAGTCAAGTGCAATTCTTGTACTGGCTGGTGTCACTTTCTGTCGTGTTCTGGCCTGCGCACCACACGAGAGTGGAGTGCGTCGTATGTTGCCCCATGCTGTGGGAGTCTGCCCCCGCAATCACAAACAGTGGCGTCGCCAACCAACACCATAGTGCGACAACCGCCCATGCGGATAGCACAGCTGCAACAACCATCACCTACACGCACCCCACTCACCCCTAGGATCACGACTGGACACCCGCGACAAACGCGACTCTTACAATTTAACTGCAACGGACTCCAGAGCAAGATCGAGGAGATAGTTGCATTTATGAGCCGGGAGCGCGTAACGATAGCTGCGGTCCAAGAAACCAAGTTAAACAGCCGCTCAGATCTTCTGAGTTGTGCAGGTTTCAACGTTTTACGTAAGGATCGCGAGCGGGATAATGGTGGAGGCCTAGCTTTCATATTGCACAACACCGTGCAATATCGTCTAATCGATGTTGACATCGACCGCAGGGACACCACCCTAGAATGTCAGGGTATAGCTGTCCGGTCAGGCAATGTTGAGCTCGAAATATTTAATATATACATCCCCCCAGTTACATGTTGCCCAACAGGATATCACCCGAATATAGATGCGCTACTTCGTGGTGAAAACCGTCTGGTGCTAGGCGACTTTAACGCGCATCACGATCTTTGGCATTCCTGCCTGTCAAACGATCGTAGGGGGATGGAGCTGGCGGAACAGATAGACGATTCGACATTCTGCACAATGAACGACGAAGCCCCCACCAGAATTATGGGCACCTGTAATAGCTCGCCAGATATTACCATCGCTAGCGGTGGTCTGATAAATAGTATAACCTGGCGACCTATGCTAACTCTTGCATCAGACCATCTGCCCATAATTATCTCGATCGAGAAACCTCCTGACTTTATTTCTGTGGATAACCGCACCTATGTTAACTTTAACAAAGCTAACTGGGTCGGCTTCACAGAATTTACTGAGAGCACCTTCAACGCACTATCCATTCCTACGGACGTCATCGTTGGCGAGCGTCAATTCCGCAAGGTGATCGCTGCTGCTACAGCTCGCTTCATACCGGCTGGAAGAATAGCGGAACTCCGCCCTAATTTCCCAGCCGAAGCAGCTGTATTAGCAAATGAGCGCGACACCTTACGCCATGCCGATCCCTGTGATCCCCGAATAAGGGATCTCAATTTGGAGATTCGGCAAATGGTAAACCATCATAAGCGGACAAAATGGATAGAGCACCTGAAGTCCTGCAACCTCTCCACCGGTGTGAGTAAGCTTTGGACTACTGTCAAGGCCCTGTCAAATCCGAGGAAACATGACGATCGGGTTGAAATTCAATTCGATGGCCATGCCTCCTCGGACCCGAAGAAGTGCGCGAGCTACTTTAGCTGGCAGTTTATACTGCACCCTTCGACCGACAAGGCCAAACGATGTGTTACCCGACGGCTGCGCAAAATGCCAAAAGACTGCGCACCACTTACTTTCACCGATGGGGAGGTTCAGAGTGTCATCAAAAAGGCGAAATCGTCTAAATCCATCGGCCCTGACGGAAAAAGCATGCTGATGTTAAAACATCTAGGCCCAACGGGAGTAAACTACCTCACCAAGGTCCTCAACCTGTCGATATCCACTCTTCAAATACCCGATGTGTGGAAAGTCGGAAGAGTGGTCCCACTGCTGAAACCTGGGAAACCTGCCAACAAAGGGGAGTCATATCGCCCGATAACTGTCCTTTCCCCAGTAGTGAAGACACTTGAGGCCTTGTTACTCCCGTCATTCACCCACCACCTGAGCCTAGCAGACCATCAGCATGGCTTCCGTAAAGTGCACAGTACCACCACAGAACTTAGCGTCATAAACGCCCAGATAGTTCATGGCCTAAACCAGAAGCCACCCTGCGAGAGGACGATCCTCGTAGCGTTGGACTTGTCAAAAGCTTTTGACACAGTCAATCACGCAACGCTACTTGAGGACCTGGAACAATCAACGCTCCCTCCAGGGCTGAAGCGGTGGACCATGAACTACCTGAGCGGTCGACACCCATCCGTACTATTTCGAGGTCAAAACTCCAAACTCAGGAAAATTAAACAGGGGGTTCCGCAGGGCGGTGTCCTCTCCCCGCTACTGTTTAATTTCTACATTTCAAAACTCCCCCAGCCACCAGCGGGAATTTCAATGACCTCGTACGCATTGACGTCGGGCAATGGAATCGATGGCATGTGTTCAAAAGTAAACGGCTACCTCTCCGATCTTTCTCGCTTCTTTTCTGCAAGGAACCTAACACTCTCCCCCACTAAATCCACAGCGACCATCTTCACCAATTGGACGAAGGAGTACAGACTGGACCTGAACATTTCAGTCGATGGCACAAAAATTCCGACAGTAAATAACCCTAAAATTTTAGGCGTCACTTTGGACAGTCTGTGCTCTTTCACTCCTCATACGACCGCGATAACTGCCAAAGTACAGAGCCGCAACAAAATCCTCAAGTCGCTTGCCGGCAGCTCATGGGGAAAAGACAAAGAAACGTTGTTGGCAACATACAAGGCAATCGGCCGGCCGGTCCTCAATTATGCAGCCGCAATATGGTCGCCTGGATGCAGTGACACGCAGAATAAGAAGCTTCAGACTTGTCAGAACACTGCACTCCGGACTATCACGGGGTGCCTCTTGATGTCCCCAATCGAACACCTACATAGCGAGGCCCGTATGCTTCCGGTTAAGGAACATAACGAGCTCCTCTCCAAGCAGTTTCTGCTGGGATGTTTTCGCAGAAACCACCCCTGCAGACGCCTGCTTGCAGCGGAGCAGCCTCCTAGGAACATCAAGAGGTCCTTCCTTGACTACGTCGACGACATCAGACAGCACGCCGACCAGACAGGCACTGACCGCCATTCACAGTGGAACCATTAACACCTTCACCGACTCCCTCTCAGTGAATGGCGTAATACGAGTCAAACCACCACCCATTGCAGACACAGAGCCAGAGAGAGAGTTGCCTCGCGAATCTAGAGTGACCCTCGCGCAACTTCGTTCTGGATACTGTAGCAGGTTAAACTCCTACCTATCCAGAATAGACCCTGACATACCAAACACATGTCCTGCATGCAATGAGTCTCCGCATGACACTAACCACCTCTTTGCATGCCCAACAAACCCCACTCATCTAACACCCCTCTCCCTATGGTCCGACCCCGTCGAAACAGCTCGCTTCCTGGGCCTTCCGTTAGATGACCTCGACGACAACGAATCTAGAATTTATCACCCAAACGGGGATTAGATAATCGTTACAACAACAACAACAACAATTTTGTTTTAAAGATCTTTTTATATGCTTTTATGTTATAAACTATGCACCTGTGAAGGGTTTTACAGTTTCAGTGTATCAGAATTCATATGCTTGGATGAATAAAACTTGGGATTGCTTTTCAGGATTTGAAAAAGAGCAACATTGTGTTTGGAAAGAAAAACACGCAGTGAAACCAAAAATACTTGAGATACGATACCGAGCGACATCGTTTTGCTTCCGAACATACATAGTTAAGTAATTTATAATTTCATACGGTTTTATGATTGATAAAGAATTAGATCCAATAAAGTTCTTACTTTTTCAAGAAAATAACTATATTTACATATTAAAATTAAACAATTCATAACTTAATGTAGCGAGATATAAATTAGTATGTGTGTGGACCTAATCCAACGACGAAGAATCAATGCAGGTATGACTTCCTAACTATTTAAGTTTATATAAAATTGATCCTTAATATTCAGTCTTATAGAAATCATAAACAGTCTGGCTAATTTTTTCTCCTATCGGTCGTTGCAAAGGTCCATACGTTATTTTGCCCAACAACAAACGAGCGTCTCTTTCATCTGTACATAATTCGTAAGCATCAAATAGTAATCGAGGTGTGGGATATACTTCGACGATCGCTAATGCTTTTTCCAGTGACAACGAATGTAATTGCAACAATTGTTGTACAAATATTTCTCTCACTGTCAGTTGTGCTCCACGTGCCGAGTCCTCGTACAAAGCTCGAAATTTTAGTAGTCCAATCATACTTGCTGAAGCACGACATGGCCGTAACTCTTCCTTGGTTGTACTAAGCAAGACCTTTTCTCTAAAACAACGTATCAACGTATTTGTTACACTTTGCAAATGCTTCATGGAACGAAAGTTGTTTTGGGTATGAGTAATTTTGAATCCCGAATGTATTTGTGTATTTACAATTGCCTGTTGCAAGGATTCCATAGGCAAGCCTAGATGTTCATTATCCCCATAATCTTCTACTAAATACATAATGTTTTGTATTCCACATTGACGCAAGCGATGTTTTTGTTCATGAAATCGACCATCCCGTATGCTTGAGGCCAAATCATCAAATCGCTTACGTTCCACAATATATGGAAGAACAAGCTCATTACCTTCTTGGTCACGAGCAATCCAAAGAAAATCACCAATTGTCAGACGTCGTACCTCATATAATACTTCAAAACTTTCCAAGTAGCTACGTGTTTGATCTAAACTACGTTTGTTTTTACCGCTTGTTTCTTGTGTATCAACAAGTAATATAATTCGAAAACTCCCTGGACTCATAATGACTTGTCGTTGGCGCTCTTCTTCTTCTGCTAATGCCTTTTGCTCCTTTTTAGTGATTTTCGGCTTTAGTTTTTTTGGAGATTGTTTCCGCTTGGTTTTTTTGATCGATTCCACAAGTTGTTTTACATCCGATTCAAATGTGTTCATAGCAGGTTCTAAAGGCGAGTTTTGTTGTTTTTCGCGGTACAAACGAAGTTCATCGTCGATAAGGTTGCAGAGTGTGCTGCCGAAACCCCTAAGGATACCACATTCCTTTCCTGAAGATAATGGAAGTGGATAGCTACGAAGAGCTATTAATGCCTCGCGAAGTTTGTACTGTGATTTCGCATTACGACGTTCCGCATCTTCTAACCACTTCTCTAACCATTTTTCAAACAGCGGATTAGGCTTTTTTAATATGATCTTTAAACGTTCTGCCATATAATTAAATTTTTACCATTTCACTGTTTACAAATAGCGGCTATTTGAAATGTTTGTATATTTTCATTACTATCAACAGTGCTGCCAAGTTAAAAAATCTCACGGAATAAATCAGCAGATTTTGACATATTGAACATGTTTCAACTTTTTTCATATTTGTTGTTGATTTTGGTTAAATAATTGAAAATGATCAAGGCATCAAATATTTTGGTTAATATTTCTCAAAATGTGAGAAGTAAGTGAAACTTCGGTATACAATCCAATTCATTTATCTTATATAAATGCTATTTGTTTATGTTTTATGTAGCTACACGCCAATTTTCTTGCACGGCGATACGGGCACTTGATCAAAAGTGGCGTGAACAAAAAGGACTGCAGGGAAATCCAAATGCCTTTGGACCGTTAACTAATTTACCTGATTATAGTTTCTTGGATGGCCGTCCAACTCCCCTCGGTGTATGTGAACAAAATCTTAAGTTACAATTGTAATTTTAATTATATTAATTTGTAATTTCGCAGTCTAACCAAAAACGGCGCTTGAAGAAACAGCAAGAGATCGCCGCTAAAATTGTGACACTAAGTGGTGAATTAGATTTCGCCAAGAAACGATATGCTCGCATACAAGCTGAAGAGGCGGCAGCGAAAGAAAATGTTATAAAGAACAAGTTAAAACCCAAGGGGCATTTGCTTCTAAAGAAAGAATAAAAATTGTGTCGTTTTGTTTTCCGCATAATTACTAGTTCGACATAATTAAAAGTCTTAAGCGCGGTAAGAAATAAAATTATAACAGGATTGCGGCTGCACTTATTTAATGTGGATTGTATGGTGTCAGTTAGAGAGCATAGCAAACTACTAGTTTCAAAACCGTTGTCACGACAGTCGGGTCTACGTACAACGATAACAACTAGTTTCAAAAAAATCTATAAACAATTACTCTGCTTAGGGGTTTCAGAAACTCTTGCTGGAGTATACCATACTATTATATAATTTACCAGTTGTAGAAGTCGGGTTTGTCTCGGGAGGCTGGGGGTGAGGGAGGTACGTGTAGGTGGTGGTTGTTGCAGCTGTAATATCCGCAGGGGCGGTTGTCGCTCTGTGGTGTTGGTTGTCGCTGCCACTTTAAAGGATTGCGGGGACAGACTCCTACAGCACGGGGCAACATACGACGCACTTCATTCACGTCTGGTGTGCAGGCTGAAACACGACGGAAAGTGACTCCAGCTAGTACAAGATATTCACTTGACTGATTCGATGTTCCGGGTTGGACTCGATAACAGCACAGTTCAGGAGGATACGGATTAACTCTGCTCCTAGTTGTTGCTCTAAGGACAACTAACTTAGATTAAAACTTACCGATCCAAACAGGGCTAAAATGCCGAACAGCAATAACACAGTAACGTAGAACCGGATGTTTCGAAAATTGGAACCTAACGAGGTACTCTCCAAGCAGTTTCTGCTGAGATGTTTTCGCAGAAACCACCCCTGCAGTCGTCTGCTTGAAGCGGAACTGCCTCCAAGAAACATCAAGAGGTCCTTTTTGATTACGTCTACGTCATTGAACAGTACACTGACCAGACTTCCGACGCAACGAGCTTCAGACATACACTGCCCGTCATTCATAGCCATCAACACCTTCACCGACTCCCTCTCAGTATTTGGAGTCAAACCACCACCCATCGCAGACGAAGCGTTCGAGTTTTTACGTGAATCTAGAGTGACCCTTGCGCAACTTCGTTCTGGATACTGTAGCAGGTTAAACTCCTACTTATCCCGAATGGACTCCAACATACTAAATATATGTCCTGCATGCAATGAGTCTTCGCATGACACTAACCACCCCTTTGCATGCCCAACAAACCTCACCCTTCTCCCTACGGTGCGACCCCGTCGAAACAACTCGGGCCTCCCGTTAGATGACCTCGACGACAACCAAACTGAAACTTACCACCCAAACGGGGATTAGATAACCATTACAACAACAACAACAAAATAGTTTACCAATATTAAGGTCAACCGATATTGATATGGAACTCATAGCAGAGAACGTATATCATATATATATATATATATATATCATATTTTACGTTCTCTGACATCAGTTTCTTAATTTTGACACTTATACATACTATATAACAAGGATTGATAGCAATCGATAATATACAAATAAGTCCCTTTAACGATTTTCAATTCAAGTGCGTTTTGGTTGAAGTTTTAAATTTCGGTATTATCGATATCAACTCAGGCCGTCAAAAAATTTCGGTTGAAGTATTGTCGAACTTCAACTTTATTGTGATATAACGGTTTTCAGCACTGTGCTACTTTGGTTGACTACTCAACGTGGTCATTATCCAGCAACTGTAATCGTTTGGTGTGGAGTCTCCTCTAAAGGCGTTACACCTCTTCACTTCTGTCAATAAGGGGTTAAAACTAGGGCAAAAGTGTATCATCGAATGGTTTAGCAGGCGTGAAAAATCAGTCAAGCAATACTCTCTTTGAAGCAAGCGTTGAATCTTCCATAAAGATTCTGCACCAGCACACAAGGAAAGAACCACATAACAGTGGCTTAAAAGCAATATTCCTAGTCTCATAACTGCAGAGATGAATTGTCGTCTGGACGAACAGATTTGAATCCATTAGACTACAGTTTGTAGTTAGAATTGGAGAACATAAACTGAAATACCCCACAGAAATTTAGAAAATCTTAAAACATCTTTGGTTCGAGGTTGAAAGCAAAAGGTGACCATTTCGAATTAAATAAAAATAACATTTTTAATCAAATTTAACCAAAATCAATATTCTTTCTTATTTTAACGAAAATAACTTATGAAACTGCAAAAAACATTATTTAAATACCATTTAATTCTAAATAAAATTTTGGCTTACTTGCGCAGCACATTAAATTGACCCCAACATTTCTCTCATTGTAATATAAATAAAAAAAAAGTCCATTTTAAAATTTCTTTACCTTTTCGTGATCAATAACTGAATTAAACTGTGTTGATTTTTTGTTTAAACATTTCTAGCTGTCAGATAGTAATTAGACAAATCTTGACTTTTTTAGGTTGGCATCATCCATGAATCTTCGACTGAAATTAATTGTAGCTTGTAATACCCAAAACAGTTTGTTTATCTGAAGATGAATCACTTTAACTTCAATTAAATTGAGTGGAGTTGCAAATCGTAATAGCGGCAATAACTTTTAATTTCCGGAAGTTCAAATTTATGTATGCTCGGCTTTTAAGTCTGTATTTGGATATATGTAGGATTTTGTGTAGTTGATATAAAATCGTAATGCACATAAATATTTGTATCTCGCTTTTATAGATACGCATTTGGGGTATTAATCTTCAACGCAATATTTCTTCAAACAAATATTTGTCGAAAAAGTGTGAATTTAAATACGGAACAGTCTCTACTATATTTTTGAATATGCTCGTAAATTGGCGCATCTATTGGCATAATCATGAATATTTTTGTTTGCACAGCTAATCAAATAAGCACATATTTTAAATATTCATGGAAGAAACCAATTTATATTTGTTATTAGCACATATAATTATTGTTTAAGTACTAAGGAACGGTAGTTGTGGACGTAAGCATCTATGTATATATATCTGTTAATATTTGTTCATACATACTTAGCGGAATATATTATATATAATTTAAAGTGTTTCCTATTAAAGTTCTTCATTGGGATTTTTTATTATAATAAATAAGATATAACAGCGTATTAGGTGGAGCAAAGCAATAATCCATAGCACATTGTTTTAATAGATCTTACCATTTATCCACTAATCATTCTTTCATAACACTATTTTTTGCTTTGAAACTAAACACCTTACTAAAATGAAACCTATTCAACTGGAACATGATTGGAGGAAAGGGTTAATTTACAATTACTATAAAAAATAAAATTAAAAAAACAAAATTTCCACATTCCTGTCAATACAATACGAAATTTAATGTCCGATAAAGTTCAGTATTGCAATCTGAGATTTCAAAAAAGTTCAAAATTGAATCTTTCCTTGTATTCAGTGAATTTGGTGAAACATACATTTTGTTTTTAGTCAGCATTTAATATTTTTTCCTAGCTACTAACAAGTGCAAGAAATATTTTGCATATTGTTTGACGAGAAGCTATATCAAACAACAATACGTCGTCATATCCCTATTATTACTCAATTTATCATTTGCACGGACAGACGGGCGAAAAATCGAATTTTTGGTGTTGAATTAGGGAAACAAAAAACTATTAATGTCGTCGTCCTCCCATTCACCAATTATATACAATTTTCGTTATCCTGGTACTGAAAATTATTAAAAATCCGTCCAGTACTTCTACTACACAGTACACATGTATGTAACGACTGTTTTTTTAAACGTGTGGTTTTCAATGAGGCTGGTATTTTTGGCAGATGTTACTTGATTTATACTCAATTTGGTTTGTCATTTCATAATGAACAGACTTACTCCGCAGAGTCGGTAATACAAGCAACCTCTTTTCGCACCACGTTTACTCTAGCGAATAATGTATTGTACATCCTGAGTGACGCCGCACAGTGCACATCGAAAACCCTATTGCTGCTGTGCAGAAGAGTATCAAAGTATCAAAACGAGATGACCACCGATCCCGAATTTCACAAGAAAAATTTCTTCAGCGATGAAGTTCACTTTTTTTTAAATGGGTACGTTAATAAACCAAATTGACGCATTTGGAGTGATGATACACAATCCATTGTTGTGACGCTATTGCATCATGAAAAAGTCATTGTTTGGTGTGATCTATGGGCAAAGACAATGATTGGGCCATATGGTTCTAACAAGACTGCATTATGTACATGCCATACAGCCAACGAAACAATCAATTTATTGTAGGAAACATTATCCCGCGTCGTGGGCCTGTGGCGTGGCGTCCAAGATCGTGCGATTTAACATTTTGTGGACTATTTCTTGTGGGATTATGTGAAGTCGTTTGTCTACGCAGACGAGCCCAAAACGACTGACGCCTTTGAAGAGAATATTCTGCGCATTATTGCTGAAATAAGGCCCCAATTGCAACAAAAAGAGGTCTAAAATTGGAATATCTGCTGAATTTTATTTGAGTCAGACGCGGTCACTTGCCCGGATTAATTTTTAAAATATAATGGCAAACCCTTATCTTCATAATAAAGTTAAATTCTTGATAACATTAAATAATATGCGTTTTATTTCTTCTTAAATATCACATGTATAAAAAAACACCCCTAATAATATTTTTTCACAAGAACTACTGAAACTTGGTCAAGGAAAATTTTCTTCTCTAAACTTTATAAGCGATTTATAATAATTTTCGATTTACTTATTGGTTTTATACTGAAAATATTGGTCAATGGGTGTGTTAAATTACCTTTTCTAAAAAGCAAATAAGGAAGGACTAAGTTCGGGTGCAACCGAACATTTTATACTCTTGCAACTTGCAAGGATCAAAGCCGGGGAAGTATCTTCAGGTGTTGGGAAAGCTTTATATTAAATCGTGAAAAGTTACGATAAATTTCGTATTTTATTAAGTTATATTATAGGTCATAGACTCAATTAGTTTTAAATCTGGATTTTACTTCCCGTCAGCGCAAATTATATTAAAATCATCCTCAAATGAGATATACTTAACATTAACTTAACCGGTGAGGTTAAATTTAATATTTGATGTGCAAAACGTCAACCAGAAGGCAAGGTCTAGACCAACTCCACTCATGTTCATCGCTAAACAATGAACATAATACGGTTTGTTAGAATAACGAAAATTATTATATTATG